GGTGTTGCGGGTCTGAAGGTCTGAATTATTTGAAATTCAAAATAATAATAAAAGTAAAAAATAAAATAAAATAAAAAAATAAAATTGTAAATAAAAAATAATAAAGTAAAGTAAATTAAATATTCTACATAAATTACTTACTGATAAAATATTCCACAATTCACAAATATTGAAAAATAAAATGAAATGAAAAAACACTTGATTACGGTATTAGATTATTAGTTATATTTAAAACTCTTAATTAATACTGGTTAAATATTTTCGTAATAAATTTTCAAAATAAAACATAATATTTTTTGTAATATCTATACTATTCTAATGTCGGACCTTGATAAATCGTAATAGTATGCTTAACAAAAATAATAAAAATAATTAGTTTTTTCATTGTAAATATCAATATGTTATTGATCGATTGCTAACTACTTTGTATATTTGACCACGTAAAAATTAATAATACGTATTAATATTTTATTTAATTATTTTAGGAAAAATTGAAATTAAAAATTGAGCAAATATTTTTAATAAATTTATTTTTTATGGTTTGCGAGAAATATTTTTATAATATTTTGTTGAAACTAATTTGAGCTTCATAATTGACTTTCGATGAATAACTTTGAATTAACCCTTGATTACAAAGTAATTGCAAATATTTTGAACACTTAGCGCACGCTTAAGATTTAGTTTTGCACTTTTATGCCAATGAAACCAATTTCGTAAGCAAGGCCATTTTATTGAATGTGTTTTTAATATTTAGTACAGTGTTATATTTAGCGTAAGTTAGATATTATATTTACATGAATTTATTGACGATTTTCATGTAAATATGTACTTAATTTTATTAAAATTTATTATTTTCATAAAAATTTCTAATACCATAAAATTGTATATAAAATTATATTTTTGATCGGATTGTATTAAACCTAAACTAATGCCTTTAGGCAAATAATCTATTATTCTTTTAACATTGCTAAATTATACTATTAATCAATTAGCTTTAACTTTAACGTGAATAACAGGTAAGGGGTAACAGTAACAGGTAACGTCCTTTGACGTATTATACTTTTATATCACAAGCTATGAGAGGTTTATTTACTTTCGTTAGCATAATATTCAAGCTAGTTAAAAAAATAAACCTTGGATCTTCCCTTTAAGCTACGATTTTACAGAAATGTTGACAAAATATGTGTAATATTGTAGATTAGATTAAATGCTATGGAAAATAAAAAATAAAAATCTTACACATACTTGGGTTTGATCAAATCTTTTAGACACTCATATACAGGTATTTGAAATATGCTAATCAAATAATAATTTATATTAATTATAATATTTTACCAAAACCTTTACAGTTAATAGAAGATAAAAAATAAAAATTATAAGAAATTTCTTGATTATAAATTTAAATTAGCTTTTTAAGTTGGTTTATAAGATAATAAGTTTATTTTATTTTAATTATTCAAATAATTTTATTAAGTATGTGAATAATAATTGACCACGTGGACATTTTTATTAATTTAATATTATTTATTAACAAAGGTCATGGTTGTGTTCTATAAGTAAATAGTATAAAAACTAATGCAATTAATAATTTACAATATACAACTTTTTAGGTTACAAATATAATAATGATTTTTGTGGTTTATATTGTTTTATTAGTTTATGTATTATTATATTAAAGTTTTTATTAAATTGGGCGGCTTCCACTTTTAGTACAATACCAGGTATAGTTTAGTTGGTTTATATTGATTTAAGTTTATTATATAATTTTATCCAAATATATGTATTTGTTATAAAAATATTTAAATAATTTATAATTCATTTATAAATAATTAATTTTAAGTCATTTAATTCAGTTTATACTTAGAAATATATAGTTGATAGTAAAAAAAATTAAATTATTAATTTGATAGTAATTATTTATTGTGAAAAAGAACTAATTTTATTGTTAATGTGATTAAATGTTATATTATAATCATGTCATATGAATTTTATAAAAGGTATCAGGAGTTCAATAATTTTCTCAATAATTTTTATTCCCGACGTCCCATACAATCACAACAATACTATCAGTGCTCACAGAATATCAGTGCAAACCTATATTACAATCATATATTACAAGATCAGTGCACGACATGTAAATATATTCTCAAATTTAATTTAATAAATAATTAAATAGATTTCTAATCAATTATTTCAATTATCTAGTTCACTATATTTAGTTTCGTTAAACCATTCATTCAATACTTAACGTGTGTATTGAGACTAAGAATTGTATTTCTATATTATGGTGTAAAGGTTCAATACGGGGTATGTGCATTTAATACTACTTTAAATAATATTTATGCATACATTTACCTACGGCATTGCATTTTAATAAACAATACAGTACCCTGGTCTAGTATTGACGGGTATTTCTGGTAATGAAGATGATATTAAAAACTCACATAATGTTCAAATTGGTTCCGGATATGTTTCTCTATTACTAACCACACGATCACTAATTGAAGATAATTCCTACTTCTCATTCATCTATTTATTTGATTACTGGGTAAATGTTTTTAAATATAATTTACGAAACTAATAATCCATTAAAATTACAAAATAGATATGGATTTTAATAATCATATTCTCGATACTGAACTCAATTCTGTGGAAATACTTAAGTGACTCGAGTGGTGGTGGAGTTTTCGATGGCCTACGATATATGGTACGGATACTGACGGGACAGTCAACCAAAATATTTACTAAATTAGAGACCGAGTGGACAGCTATGAAAGGCAGCTCCAGATCAATAGATAACATAAAATACACCATTCATTTAGTTGTAATTATCATTTGGATCCTATGCTCGACAGTACTGTCAAAGTGTTCCTCAAGCGTTATGTTAAACACATATTTTAAAGTAAAAACCAAAATATTTATTAATTCGTTTGACGAGTTGGTTGAGCACCTGGAGGTTGGTTTTTATGGTATACTACCCACGAGATTTAGAAACCAAGATCCAAAAATGGCTAAAATATTGAACGAAAGGCATTATAAATATGAGGCATATATTATAAATGAAGCCAAAAGTGTGAATAAAACAAACCCTATTTTACTTATATTTATACTAAGAGATGTGTTACAAAGAAAAGCTGTTTATCTCACGAATTCATACAAAGAAAAGATAATTAAAGCGCAAAATCCATCCCTGAATCTGGTTGTGGCCGATGATAGGCGAGGGTATAGTTATACCGCATATACTGTGCCTAAACTACATAGATTTGGTATAAGAATTGCTAAAAGGTAAGCCATTTAGATAATAATATTTTATAGAATCAATGAGGCCTTAGCTTGTTTTATTTCTAATTAATTATTTGATTTAAAATTCAGTTATTCATACAATATTCATTGGTTTTTATTTTAAAATATATTTTGAGGCAAATTATTAATTATATAATGTGGTAATGAATGATATTCTCATAAATCTTATAATTTAGATAAATAATATGAATAATGTTTTGTATGAATAGTTTGAAACATTGTGTGGAAATGGGTTTATATCTGAAGTTAACTAGAGATGAATTGCTTGAAGTGGAAATGAAAGGACGACTCATTGAGACAAATATTGAATTATTACTAAACATTGGGAAACAAAATCCCAATAATGAGATAAAACTCAACGATTTCTTAAAAGGTGTTTATCTAATATTGCTTTTTGGGTAACACACACGTACAAACACAAGTACACAAGTACACAGAGCTTATCAATTTGAATTTTATAGATTAGTAATCTTTCAGCATTGATGTTCATAAGTTTGTGTACTTTAAGCATTAAGACAATACAGTCTCACCCGGTCCACTGTATTTACACAAAAAGTTGATAACTTAAATACTNTTGAATTTTATAGATTAGTAATCTTTCAGCATTGATGTTCATAAGTTTGTGTACTTTAAGCATTAAGACAATACAGTCTCACCCGGTCCACTGTATTTACACAAAAAGTTGATAACTTAAATACTGATCATAATTAATGGACATTAAACTAGAAAGTAGTCAAAAGTCAAGCGCCAAATATAAATTCACTATGAAGTTACAGTGAACGGAGTTTAGATCATTTGAAAAGTAAACAATGCTAAAATTACTTATAAAATCATTTTACTAAAATGGCATCATAATCTCTTGTCGGAAATAAATAAATACATTTTCAAATAATATTGCCACTTACATGGTGTAATAAATTACTTGAATTTCACTTATACTAATAGTCTTACCAGATTCATTTGAAAATAATGCAATACTAAATAATTTTATACGGTAAGAAATAATTATGTTGTTATTATGAGTATTGTCAAATTATCTTATCCATTTCAAGTATGTATTAAACTATTTTTAAACAAACTTAAGTAAACGTTAATAGCGTGTTAAAATGGTACCTTTCAATAGTAGCATAATATATTATTATCACGGTATTTTGTGATCACAGTAGAATTTATGATAAAATATGTATTTATATCAATGTAATATAATAAATCTGGTGAATTGTCGTGGACAATTTAATCCACAACAATTGCGGTAGCATTAAACTAAAATTGAAATAGGTAAAATTATCACAATTAATATCTATTTGATGTAACAAAAATTTTAAATAAATAGCAAGGGTTATCATTGTTGTAGCATATCGTAGTTTTTTACTGCAAAAAACATAGAAATTGTAATAACGATACACATTATATTATTAATTATTTTGAAGGTTTAAACAAAATTATATTTGTCGTATTTTGTACTCAATATGAAAACAACATTGATTTTTGTGCTATTTTTTGCATCAGTGGTTTATGGCAAGCATTCCGATTCAGTGGACGAACGAGGTAAGGTCATTTTTTAGCTAAAATTTCTAAATATTTGTAGCGATATTAATTTTAATTACATATTTTTTAAAAATTATGCAACTAAATAAATTCGTTAGTTAAACTCCAACCCTCCAAGCTTTTAAAATTGAAAACATTCTCTAGGACATTTTTAAACATAAATTTATGTAACTAATCTAATTGGTTAGAAAACTTAAATATAATGTTTAAAAACTTATAGTAAATAAAAATCTAATACCAGAATAAATTGATTCTCAACAATAAAATGTAAGGCATAAATATTAGGTAGCACAACACTGACCGATAATATGTTAATAAATTTTTTTAATTTTTTAATAACGTCCCGCAAGTATTTTTCGGTCGGGATGGGCTTAGTCATTGGTGCCAGGACCATACCGATTGCCCTAACAACAACATGATGTGCTTCAATCAAAAGTGCATCTGTAAGCCCAACTACCAGGAAAGTGGGTCGTCAGGGTGTAACGGCCCCCTTAACTGCACCCTGGGTCAGATCAACTGCGGCTCTTGGGATGGCTGGGTGTGCGACCAACAGGCGGGTCGGTGTGTATGCAATGAGGAGACGCACTCCGAACGGGTGAACACCGGGTTCTGTGTGCCCAACGAAGGCCCCGATCCTGTCTGCACGAATGGCCAGGGATGTCAAAGTCCCCGGGTATGCGTGCAGAATAGATGCCGGTGCCCGAAGGACACCTACCCCACCTACACGGGCGACGCTAAAAATCCCACGTGTCAACAGTACTCGTGCGGTCAGGATCGTGGGTGCGCCCATAGCTGGGACACCCACCGTATGTGTCAGGGCGGTAGGTGTATATGCGACGACCCCAAGTACAGGGAGACTAACACTAGCCTTGGTCAAATTTGCGCCATTGGTGTGGAACCTGCGTGCGGTCGGGATGTTAAATGTATGGACCCTAACGAGGTGTGCGTGGACTGGACCGACAATAATAATAACGGGAAGTGCCAGTGCAAGGCCAATTACAATTATGAGGATGGTAGGTGCCAGGCGTTCAGGTGCCAGGATCAGCCCCAACAAAGCGGTCAGGGAATAGACCAGAGGGCTAGATGTGACACATGGGATCAGAACAGGGAGTGCAAGCAATCCAGATGCGAGTGTAAAGAGGGCTACGATCAGAAGGGGGTAGAAGGGGGCAAATGTGTGCGAGATGCCTAATTGATAGACGTTTCTAAATGTCCAGTATATTTGCAATTAATTATTAATTAAATAATTAAAATTTAATGATTACTGTAAAATTGATTTATATTTTTAAATTGTCAAATAACTGTAATAATATTAATCTAAATATTATCTAATAAAGAGTTTACAAAGCATAGAGCAACCATGTGCCTTTAATTAGTTATTCATTAAAAAACAATTTTATAAACATTATTTTTTAAATAATTTTTGAAATATAAATTAAATATTAATAACTATTTAAGAAATATATTCAAACTTTAAATATATTTATATACACTTATTGTATTTTTAAAATATAAATTAAAAACATAGATTAAAAGAATAAAACTATACAAACTGATAACCATGTTTATAATTATCCTATAATTTTTTTAAATAAAAATTAACTTAAATAACCATTTTTATATTTATTCAATAATTTTTTATAAATATTAACTTAAATAGATTATTAAATAAACACGATGTCAAAGTGAAACTATCATGTT